AATATACATATATAAATAAATATAAATATACATATATATAATATAAATATAAATATATATAATATAAATATAAATATATATAATATAATATACATATATATATAAATATAAATATACATATATATATATATATATATAAATGTAAATATACATACATATATAAATATAAATATAAATATATATATAAATATAAATATACATATATATATATATATATATATATATATATATATATATATATATATATAAATATACATATATATATAAATATATATATATATATATATATATATATATATATATATATATATATATATATATATATATATATATATATCACTTAGCAAATATTTCATCATATAACGCTGACTCTCATGCTTATATTTCCTTGTTTCATTGTTTCCAGCTTTTGCCCATCCAGCTGTTTTATGCCAGGAACGGTACACATCTTTCCATTTCAAGGAGTCTTCTTTCGGCAACGAAATCTTTGCCTCTTCCCACTCAGAGACATTACGTAAACACTCATACGTCCCAAAGCACAGTGTGATACTTATCAAATTTGCAGTATTTACACACTGGAAGCTCTTTCTCGCAAATACCTAACGGTAGTAATATTGCCTACTAGTGACGTTTTATTTGTATAACCGCAGACCTAAAAGCTAAAAATACATCTTTTATCCTCATGCACTTGTCAAAATTTACATTCGTCTAAATTTAGTTAAAGTGTACACTCACATTAATCGCACACAAAGCACATTTTGCATGTGAATTATATTTGCCATAAAAATTCAAGGACATTTTTTCCCGAATATGTTTTGTCTTTGTTACGTATACAAAATATTTCCCTGGTACAATGTTTAGAAAAAAATTCAGAGAATGAAATAATGTGAGAGAGAGAGAGAGAGAGAGAGAGAGAGAGAGAGAGAGAGAGAGAGAGAGAGAGAGGAGAGAGAGAGAGAGAGAGAGAGAGAGAGAGAGAGAGGGGGGGGGGTTAGGGGGGAGGGGGAGAGGGAGAGGGAGAGGGAGAGGGAGGGGAGATAGATAGAGAGAGAGAGAGAGAGAGAGAGAGAGAGAGAGAGAGAGAGAGAGAGAGAGAGAGAGAGAGAGAGAGAGAGAGAGAGAGAGAGAGAGGGAGAGGGAGAGAAAGGGGGGGTAGGGAATGTATATCTGTCTGTCGGTCAGTCTGTATCTTTCTACATGCTCTTAACAAAACAACAATATTCATCTTTGTCTTCTCATCCTAGCCAAGGTGACAGATTTGAACGGGATATAAAGCATAGACGGATAGAACAAACAGACAGACAGAACGATATTTATATAGAACAAGCTGGTATATCTGTGAGATTCTGAGACCTCACCTGCTTCAATTTACAACGAGATAATCTGTTTTCTTTTCATTTAGTTCTTGAGCATTAAGTGCCTGAGATTACACCACTCGTATACTGGCCTGTGATTATTATTGTTATCAACTGTTGTTCTCATCTCTGTAAAATACACAGACACAGACAGACAAACAGACAGACACACAGATAGACAGACTTACAGACGCGCACACACACACACACACACACACACTTTTCGCTATGAATTATCTTATGTGAAAGCATTATTAATACGTAAATACTGTACACGAGTTTAAGCAAAAGCTCCAACATAAATAACGATAAATCTTTCATCACATTAACTCGCAATATAATTGAATAAAAATACGATATTTTTCTACCGAATAAGAATGCTTCATTTCTTAAATTCCCTAAAAATCAATTGATACAGCTTACATATTCATTGGTTTTCCGTACGATCTATTTTCCTTTCATCATCTAACACTCTTTTGAAATGAGTTCACGGTTTCCAGATCCTTGTCATTCTAGTTATTCCGTCTGTCACGCAAGGTTTCCCCGATAACTTTGTCCCTGCTTATGCTTTCCGTAAGTATCCTGTGTACATTGAAACACCTAAATATATAAACCTAAATCCATTCACCGATAAACCACATTTCTTATTTTCCGTCTCGCAGGCTCCCATTCCGGACAGTTTCAACTACGCCGTGTGAGATGCTTACAAAGGAAGCAACTTCGACCAGAGTGAGAAATCCGACGGGAAAGGCATATCGGGATCCTGCGCCGTCGCCTTCCCCGATGGTCGCAAACAAATAGTAAATGTCATATCACTCAGGAAATCCATTGCGCAATGCCCATTAATCTTCACCAGGGTATGATATTTGAAATAACTCCCTCAGAGATTTTTTCCGATAATGATCAGAAGAGTAGATACAAAAGAGAGAGAGAGAGAGCGAGAGAGAGAGAGGGAGAGGAAGGAGAAGTAGTGGATTTGTAGACATCGCAACTGCGTCACGCTTTACATATTCGATTGCCGTCTCGGCTGAAGCATACTACGCTATGGAAGTCTAGAACATTTAGCAATGCACTATGGTGCCACAAATTAGGGTAGGGTGTGAAATATACCGTGCGAAAGTGCCGTACTGATCTGAATGTTCGTTTGGAAGAAATTTGTAAAATACAAGTCCCTTAAAATGTATAGTAGGTGAGGAGGGTAAGGGTGAGGGAGATGGAGAGGGAGAGGGGAAAAAAAGGCGGTGAGGTAAGACTGAGAATATGAAGAGAGGATAGACAAGAGAAATAAATCAATAAAAACAGAGAGAAAAGAGATCGGTAGATAGGTAGGTAGGTAGGTAGGTACGTACGTACGTAGAGAGAGGGAAGGGACAGGGAGGGAAGGAGGGGGAGAGAGGAAGGGGGCAGGGAGGGAAGGAGGGGGAGAGAGGGGGGAGGAAGGGGGGAAGGAGGGAGGAAGGGAGAGGAAGGGAGAGGGAGAGGGAGAGGGAGAGAGGGAGAGGGAGAGGGAGAGGGAGAGGGAGAGGGAGAGGGAGAGGAGAGGAGAGAGAGAGAGAGAGAGAGAGAGAGAGAGAGAGAGAGAGAGAGAGAGAGAGAGAGAGAGAGAGAGAGAGAGAGAGAGAGAGAGAGAGAGAGGGGAAAGCCATAGAGAAAAAAATATATATATATCGCCGAGACAGGAAAAAAGAAAAGAAAGAGAACCCCAACTCTACAATAATTCATCCCAATCACGCTATCTGTAAAGGCGATAACCTCATCTGACCCCGAAGTTCCTCCCGCCGCAGGTCGACCACCACGGAGGCTTCGAGGGCGTTACTCAGGCAGGGTGAACCTTCTCGCCCACTACAGCCCCGCCGTCACCTTCGGGGAGAGGGGGGCGGGGGCATCGGCGGGTGCCACTAAAGACAAATCCTAAAATCCTACGTTGAAAGTGCTTCATGGTCATCGAATCTCCTGTTACATTAATCCAAACGGGATAGTAAGTTATCAACATCAACTCCATTTACATATTTTTTTTATTATATATCCACATTATATAATTCTGGAATGTAGTGATAACAAAATAATAAAAATATAATAAAGTATTAAACCACATATTAATCATTTGCTTCAATCCTCTATAAGTGTAAAAGAAATAAAATACCAAATATGAATTGATGAATTTCATGTTTTCAGCAGCAATAACAATTTGACCTGCTAATTCATCAGTATAAAAGGTATCGAAATCCATCGGTAAAAAATGAATCAGCTATGAAAATAAGCTGAATAAAAAAAAAACACGTCATAACACAATTGTAATTAACATTGTCATGTGCACGTGTGTACGTGTGTGTGTACGTGTGTGTGTACGTGTGTGTGTACGTGTGTGTGTACGTGTGTGTGTGCGTGTGCTTGTGTGTATGTGTATGTGTATGTGTATGTGTATGTGTGTGCGTGTGCGTGTGCGTGTGCGTGTGCGTGTGCGTGTGCGTGTGTGTGTGTGTGTGTGTGAGTGTGAGTGAGAGTGTGTGTGTGTGTTCGTGTGTGTGTTCGTGTGTGTGTTCGTGTGTGTGTGTGTGTGTGTGTGTGTGTGTGTGTGTGTGTGTGTGTGTGTGTGTGTGTGTGTGTGTGTGTGTGTGTGTGTGTGTGTGTGTGTGCGTGCGTGCGTGCGTGCGTGCGTGCGTGCGTGCGTGCGTGTGCGTGTGCGTGTGCGTGTGCGTGTGCGTGTGTGTGTGTGTGCGTGTGTACGTATATATAAATATGTAAAAAGTATGTACTTACATGCATACGCATGTAAGCACATATGTATACATAAGTATGTACATATGTATGGCCACATGTACGTATATACTTAGATATGCATGCAAGCGTGTATGAGGTCTTTACACATTTACATAATGTATACATGAAAAAAATATACATTTCAGCATCCCCTTCCCCTCTCCCTACTTACCAGCCTCCTCTCGCGCCGAATGGTAGCTATGGAGCGCAACCATACATAACTGAACCACAATGTTGCCACTGGGAGCCACGCCTCTGCCACTTACGTCATTGCTGTGACATCACTAATTACAACTTTGAGCAATTACAGCAACACAAGTTACTTAAACTGGCACATTATCATCGCCACTTATGCATGACGTGATTTATCCGGGTTTTCATTATTTCCCATCTGTTTGGAGAAAGCCGGCACAGGCAGTATGTGGATAACCACCAATATATGAAACAAAAAAATTGGTTAAAACAAGATTCAAAATTCAGCAAAAAAAGCAAAAGTCATATACACACACTACCTCTCTCATTCTTCCCTCACTCACCCACTTGCATATAAACGTACACATAACCATAAAAATATATAAACGTATACGTGTCGGGTGCACAAGCCACACCAAACCATTCCCATCCTTTATAGATGAAAAATGCTAAAAATAAACTACACGAGGAGGAGGAGGGGTAAGCTGAGTGGTTCGCCTGGTTTGCTGTTCCCTCCCCGTGAGCGCCGTTGCAACCGCACCGTCCCAACCACGCGGTGTCATCATCGGCCGGCGGTGGCATGGTCGCCGCGCCCGGGAGATGGTAACCACGACGCCAACTGTCCATTGCGGAAGTCATCCAGTAGAAGGGAGTAATGAGCTACGTGTATATAAGCAACCGAGGAGAATGACCATGCATCAGTCTACAATCACTTCCATCATAAGAATCACCATGTTCGCTAAGGTTGTATTCGTCCGTGTGTGTTGTTTACATTGCTCTGTGTGAGGCGCAGAGTGCATCACGCCATCCTGCGCTTATGATCGTAAATCAAGCAGTACATCTAACTGAAATACTAAAATGAAAAACTACTGTACCATTTATTAAACGATCGAAACTCAGCACAATGAAAAGGACGTGCTGCAAGTGACTATCGTCTTCTCCAACAGGTCTCTCTAACGCTGCTCTGTGTCGCCGTGGCATCGGCTATGGCATCTCTCCTCCCTCATGCACCTCCTCCCTATGGGGCCCCGCCACACCCCACCTACATACAGGTACAATTCACGGCCAAGTGTTGGCATTAGTTAATGCCTTTGAACACAATGGGCCTGATATCAGTTGCCTGAATTCTCGCTAGGCCTCAACGCCTTTCCTTCCTCCCGCAGAAGGGTCGTCCTTACAAGTTCGAGTACGGCGTGGTCGACGACTACGTTGGGGCGAACTACGGGCACGACGAAACCTCAGACGGGGAGCTGGTGCAGGGCTCCTACTACGTGGTTCTCCCTGACGGCCGCTTCCAAACAGTAATTATGTGTTCTAATCTCATTATATTACTGTAGGGGTATCAATACTTTCAATACACACTAATTGTGATACGAATAATTTTACGTTAATTGTATAGAATCATTAATATCGGTATTTATAATAACATCCCTAAAAACAATACTAATTATAATAATATGGTAGTGCTACAGAGAAAAGTAAGTAGTGGTGCTATTATATCTACTAATGGAATTAGAATTACAGTATATATCATCAATGTACATAATTATATCAGCAATAATACCGACAACACGAGTATATAATATTACGTTTAGTGTCCTAACAACACATTAATATAAGTACTAGCATAATGATTCCAATATTATAAATTTACATTAGCTTTGCCATTATGATTATAATCAATGCATACTTTAATATTTCGATGGAATCACTTATTCTAATACGATAACATTCAATATCCTCACTATAAGTCCTGTTGTGTGAGCAGGGACAATCCCCTACAATCCTCTTTACCATCCCAGGTCAAGTACCAGGCCGACGACGCCGTAGGATACGTAGCCGACGTGGAGTACAAGGGAGACGCCCAGCACCCTCCCCACTACGCCCCCTCCGTGACCTTCCGCCCCGCCGTCCCGCCCCACTCCCCCGCCCATACCCCGCCCCCTACCACCACCACTGCCCCCCCTCCGCCGCCCCCCACCACCATCCCTTACGAAGCAGAGGAATAACGACTTCGATATGTCCTGCAGCAGGACTCTGATGTTCCTTCCCCTTCAGAATACGGTTGACCATGCTGGTAATGTGTTGAGCCTGATCACACGCCTCCCGTTGCACACGAATCGTTAGTCAAGTGTTTTAGACGTTTTAATAAATGTGATATCATAATATAGTGGTGTTACTACCCGCCACTTTCCTTCACCTTCTTCATCGTTACCCTGACGTTTTACAAGATGTCTGCAAGATAAATGATGTTGCACATTCGTCGTTGCGTAAGTGGATATATGAACATGCAATACATAATGCTAATGAAGGCATACGTCTTATATATACAAATGCCAGCAGGGCTCTAAATCTCTTCTGTAATTCGAAATCACAACTCTTCTCCCCTCTCCCCCTTCGCCTATCCACATATCATATAAAAAACAACTTTCCAAATTATGCATGAAACAATGCAATCCTAATGTAAAAATTAAAAATTATGTGTATGTATGTATGAACGTGTGTGTGTGTGTGTGTGCATGCGCACATACACACATACACACGCACGCACGCACACACACACACACACACACACACACACACACACACACACACACACACACACACACACACACACACACACACACACACACACACACACATATATATTTATTTATGTATATATATACATGCATATATATACATGCATACATATATATATATATATATATATATATATATATATATATATATATATATACACACAAATACATACATACATACAAATACATACATATATATGTATATATATGCATATATACATTTATATGTGTATATATACAATATATATATATAAACACACACACACACACACACACACACACACACACACACACACACACACACACACACACACACACACATATATATATATATATATATATATATATATATATATTATATATATATCATATATATATATATATATATATATATATATATATATATATATATATATATATATATTACATATAAATATATAAATATAAATATATATACATATAAATACATACATGTGTATAGATATAAGTATACATATAAATACATACATGCATGCAAACATATATATACATGTAAAACACACATGCATGCATACATATATATACATACACATACACACACACACACACACACACACACACACACACACACA